AACAGGACTGAAGTAGTGAGAGGCTCAGAAAAGCTGTGGTTGTTGCTCCTTGTACCACGGAGGGGTCATGGCCGAGCTCCCATTGAACGTGCCCCTCACCTCGCACCCCATCTACCTGAGAATCCGTGGACCCTCGGTTTATGAAGACGAGAACCAGCGCACATGGCTGCATGTTGTCATGGACACAGGAGGTGACCTGCAAGTACAGTTGCGCCAGGGCGACTACCCCAGTGGTTATAACGGAATCCCCACCAGACTGCTGACCTCGAGCACCATGCCTTTGATGTGGACGCTCCACCTTGGAAACCAGTACGTGGACTCCATGGGCCGGTTCTGGCGCATCGTGCACCACGTCAAGGAGGATGACATGGAGGAAATGATCCTTGAGCTGATGGACGACTCTTAGGACATGTGATGGGGTCCCTGGCTCTTGTCAACCTGAGCCCCAGTCCTGCTGGCCCGCTGGTGGGACGAGTATAGTTCTGTTCACCTTTTTTAATAAGCTCTGCTGTTCTACCTGCCATCCCCTGGGTGTGAGGGCACATTGATGTCTCTCTCTCTCTCTCTCTCTCTCTCTCTTTCTTCTTCTTCTTGTTGTTCTTGTTCTTTTTCTTCTTCTTCTTCTTCTTCTTCTTCTTCTTCTTCTTCTTCTTCTTCTTCTTCTTCACCTTTCTCTCTCTCTTTCTGTTTCTTTGTCTCTCTGTCTCTCTCCGTGTCTCTCCCTCTCTCTCAAATCAATAAAAGCATTTTGGGCCAAGCTGGTGTTTCTCAGTGGTTGAGGGACGACCTATGAACCCGGAGGTCATGGTTCTATTCCTCGTCAGGGCGCAGACAAGAATTAACCCATGAGCCCTAGTGTTTGGCTCAGTGGATAGAGGGTTGGACTGTGGACTATGGAAGGTCCCAGGGTTGATTTTGGTCAAGGGCACATGCTGTGGTTGTGGGCTCGATCGCCAGTAGGGGGCGTGCAGGAGGCACCTGATGTATGATTCTCTCTCATTATTGATGTTTCTCGCTCCCCTTCCTGTATGAAATCAATCCTGTATAATAAAAGCACAATATGCTCAGTGTCCAGTCGACCGGTCATCTGTTCAACCAATCTAAGCATAATATGCAAATGATATAATAAGTTTTCTCAACTGCTCACTATGAGATGCATTGACCACCAGGGACAAGACATTCAGACTGGTAGGTCAGTTTGCTGCTGGGGTCTGGCTGATTGGGACTGAGTGAGACATGCTGGACACACCCTGGAGCCCTCCCATGGTCCCTCCCCAGCTGATCAACCTCCCGTGTCACTCCCCAGACTTAATAGGGCACCTGTGGGGTGCCTTGGCCTGGCCTGTGCCCTCTTGTAGTCTGGGACCCCTTGGGGGATCTCAGAGAGCTGGTTTCGGCCCGATCCCGCAGGCCAGGCTGAGACACCCCACTTGTGCATGAAATCGTGCACCGGGCCTCTAGGAAAATATATTAAACAGAGAAAGAAAAAGAAAAAGACCTTAAGCCTGAAAATATTACCCCTCCCAGGTAGACAAGGCTTGAAGACATCACTGGAAATAGTTTTCATTTCAATGACCAGCCTTCTCATTGTTTGATCTCCTGAGATTCGTCAGCTGATACTACCCTCTCCAAAAAAAGAATGAATGTTTGGGGGATTACGGGTGTTTTACGTTGATCATCTCTTTCCTTTGAGGAATTACGAGGGATGCCAGGGCTGGTCTTCTGAAGTCTCCAGCATGCTCTGTGTGTGGCTTTAACATAACATCTAACTCTGTGTGCATTTGGGTTTTTAATTGTGTTTAGCACTGAACAGCCCCTTACAAAGCGCAGCGATCATATAATTCATCTACCATCGCACCAGAGAGAAGGGGCTGGAGGGGAGCCCGGGGGGATCCCCTGAAATCAATTTCAGGGCATCCATGTTTGTATTAAAGAGATCACTGAATGCTGATTAAATTCTCCTCTTGCAGGAAGGTGTTTGCAAATGCAAATTGAGCCCTTTAAGGCTGAGGCCTGGGGAGCATGAGGGATGTGTTTCCAAGTTTCATTTCTCATATTCAAAATATTGCACTTCTGGCCTGGCCGGCGAGGCTCAGTGGCTGAGCATAGACGTATCAACCAGGAGGTCATGGTTCGATTCCCGGTTTAGGGCACATGCCCGGGTTGCGGGCTCAATCACCAGTAGGGGGCGTGTGGGAGGTGGACGATCCGTGATTCTCTCTCATCATGGATGTTTCTCTCCCTCTCTATCCCATCCTCTCTGTGTCAACAAAATCATTTAAAAAAATATTAAGCAGGTGTTGCATTCAGATTAAATGCACATTGTTTTAAAATTGTTAATTATTTTTTTTTGTTTAACATACCAGGTGGGTAGTCATTTAAAGATGACGTAACACCCTAGCTGGTGTAGCTCAGCAGATAGAGCGTTGGCCTTTTTTTTCAAATATATTTTTATTAATTACAGAGAGGAAGGGAGAGGGAGAGAGTTAGAAACATCCATGATGAGAGAATCATGGATCGGTGGCCTCATCCTGCAAGTCCCTCACTGGGGATCAAGCCCACAACCTGGGCACGTGCCCTTGACCGGGAATCAAACCCGGGATACATCAGTTCGAAGGCCGAAACTCTATCCACTGAGCCAAACCGGCTAGGGCCTACTTGACTTTTTAGAAGGGTGGGAGCACCTTGAAGAAGAATGAAGAATCTCAGCATTCATGTCACAGTAATTACATGAATTCATGTAATTCATGAGAATTACAGCTCACCTCACCCTTCTTTCCACATTGTTCCTGTAAATGCAGACTCTGACTAATAACAAACTTGTAGGTAAACAGCATGTTTGTGTAAGGATCCTAGGAACTAATTTTACAAGATACGAACTCTGACCTTCCCAGTTCTGGGAGATTTGCTGACCTTCAGCATTAGAACCAGAAGGACAAAGGCTAGGATGACACACACTGGACCGACATCTGACCACTTGCAAGATCCTTATCAGATTGGACTTTGCCTGTAGTCACGTAGAGAACTTCTCAAGCCCTGCCCCCTGACCTCTTTGCTCTGTTTGGCCTCTCCCTCCTTATAAAAGCCTCTGCCTGCACTGAGATGCGTAGATGCGTTTTGGGACCAGCGTCCTATATCTACTCAGGTTGCCAGTACTTGAATAAACCTCTTTCCTTCCCCACCAGCACCTGTCCCACGGGACAGGTTTCTGGGGTGTGACTCAGGGGAACCTTGTTTTTCTGGACACATTCCTGATACATGGACTCCTGGGAATATGTGTATCATGGCCATTTTCTTTCTTCTGCAGATGACATAGAGAAGTAGAGACCAGTCACAGAGGAAAGGTGCTACGAATGGTGCTTTGCCTTCAGAACAAGAAGAACAGGTAAGAAAAAGATGGATGGGAGGAGGAGGAGGAAGGATTGGGGATGGAGTCTGGTCTGAGGGAGGAATTTGGACTTTGTGGACTGAAGTGAGTTTAGCAGCAAAACCATACAGCTCTTGCCAACAGCATGGCTGAGGCTATGGGAAGGGAGAGATCATTCTATAAGTGATGTTATGAGACCTCAGGAATACGACTTGCTGTTTCACCAGTCTCTTTGCTTCCTGTTTCCCTGATCAGCTATCCCAGGTATCTGTCTGTCCCTGAATATTTTGGTCTTGCTTCTCTCACCAGCATTTGAGAAGCAAGACCGCTGTTAAGAAGACCACCTGAAAGCTGACAGTAGCTTTGTTCCTCTGCCAGCTGTTAATGGTAAAGCATATTATTTGCATGTTATTTCCATGAGGTGGCTTGTTCTATGGTTTGTGAGTTCCCTCTGAGATGATCAGAAAGGAGGTGGTTTTGTCAGGACCAAAAGAAAAGTTGAACCAACTACAAAGTTTTAATTAAGAATAAAAGATAAGAAAAGGAAAGAAAAGAAAAGGAAAGAAAAGAAAAGAAAAGAAACGAAAAGAAAAGAAAAGAAGAGAAAAGAGCCCGACTGGCATGGCTCCGTTTTTTTCCTTATACCTTGGAACCGGGTGATGTCGATTCAATTCACAGTCATGGCACATGCCCGGGTTACACTCTTGATCCCCATTATGGGGCATGCAGGAGGAAACCAATCTGTGATTCTCTGTCATCAGTGATCTTTCTCTCTCTTTCTCCCTCTCCCTTTCTCTCTGAAATAAGTAAAATTATATGAAAAAAAACGAAAGAATTGTCATGGCACAGTAAAGTAGAGCATTGAGTCAATCCTATATAATAAAAGCCTAATATGCAAATTGACCAAACCACAGAATGACCAGTCGCTGTGACACACACTGACCTACAGGGGCAGATGATTATGGCAGGGGCTGTCCACCGGTGGTCAGTGCACTCCCACAGGGGGATTGCCGTTCAGCCAAAAGCCAGGCTCACAGCTGCCGAGCACAGGGGGTTGGTTGGAGCCTCCACACCAGCACTAAAGCGGGCCTAAGCTGTCATTTGGACATACCTCAAGGGGTCCCGGACTGGAAGAACCCACAGGGCTGACAGAGGGACCACCAATGTGCATAAATTTTGTGCACTGAGCCTCTAGTAATATTATAATAACTGTGTATGTGTCACATGGCTATGAGATTAATTGCATGATTTCTTAGTCCATTATATAATTTCTAATCATTGGGGTGTACCCCTAAAATGAACCTGAGGTTGTTTGTCAACTGTCATTTAAAACATGTTTTAAAATTTATATAGGACCATGATACATTCATAGAGTCATATTTTACATTAAGTATGTCTAGTACAGTTTGTTCTGGAAGAAAGATCTAAAGCTAAAAAAAAAAGAAAAATTGAGATTTATAAATTTGCAAAATAAACCAAAGGCAACCACAAACACAACCGTAAAAACCATAAAGATAAAAGCCTAGGTAAAATGCGTTTGGAGACCCGATCCCCTGTCTTTCGATGCCGGGACCAAAGTAGCGAGAAGGCTCTGAGAAGCTGTGGCTGTTGCTCCTTTGACCACAGAGGGGTCATGGCCAAGCTCCCGTCGAAGGTGCACCTCAATTCGCACCCCATCTGCCTGAGGATTCGTGGGACCTCAGTGTTTGAGGACGAAGACGATCGCAAGTGGCTGCATCTCTTCATGGAGACAGGAGGCGTCCTGCAAGTACGGTTGCACCAGGAAGACATCCCCAGGGGGCATATCGCACTCACCACCAGCCCGCTGACCTCGAGCATCATGCCTTTGATTTGGTGGCTCCAGCCTGGAGGCCCGTACATGGACCACATGTACCGGTTCTGGCGCATCGTGCACCACATCAAGGAGGATGGAGTGGAGGAAATGATGCTTGAGCTGATAGACAACTCGTAGGACATGTGATGGGGTCCCTGGCTCTTGTCAACCTGAGCCCCAGTCCTGCTGGCCCCCCGGTGGGACGTGTATAGTTCTGTTCACCTTTTTAATAAGCTCTGCTGTTCTATCTGCCACCCCCTGTGTGCAAGGGAACATTGATGTCTCTCTCTCTCTTTCTCTCTCTCTTCCTCTCTCTCTCTTTCTCCTTGTTCTTCTTCTTCTTGTTGTTCTTGTTCTTCTTCTTCTTCTTGTTCTTGTTCTTGTTCTTCTTGTTCTTCTTCTTCTTCTTCTTCTTGTTCTTCTTCTTCTTCTTCTTCTTCTTCTTCTTCTTCTTCTTCTTCTTCTTCTTCTTCTTCTTCTTCTTCTTCTTCTTCTTCTTCTTCTTCTTCTTCTTCTTCTTCTCCTTCTTCTTCTTCTCATACTTCTCCAACTGCTCCTTCTCCTACTTTCTCTCTCTCTCTCTGTCTCTTTGTCTCTCTGTCTCTCTCTGTCCCTCTGACTCTCTCTCAAATCAATAAAAGCATTTTAAGCCAAGCTGGTGTTTCTCTGTGGTTGAGGGACGACCTATGAACACAGAGGTCACGGTTAGATTCCTGGTAAGGGCACAGACAAGAATTGACCAATGAGCCCTCGCTTGTTTGGCTCAGTGAATAGAGGGTTGGACTGTGGACACTGGAAGGTCCTAGGTTCCATTCTGGTCAAGGGCACATGCTCTGGTTGAGTGCTCAATCCCCAGTAGGGGGCGTGCAGGAGGCACCTGATGTATGATTCTCTCGCATCATTAATGTTTCTCACTCCCTTCCTGTATAAAATCAATCCTATATAATAAAAGCTAATATGCTAAAGTGTCTAGACAACTGGTCATCTGTTCAACCAATCAAAGCATAATATGCAAATGATATGCTAATGTTGCTCAACTGCTCACTATGACATGCTTTGACCACCAGGGACAAGACATTCAGACTGGTAGGTCAGCTTGCTGCTGGGGTCTGGCTGATCAGGACTGAGTGATATGGGCTGGACATGCCCTGGAGCCCTCCTATGGTCCCTCCCCAGCTGGCTAACTTCCCGTGACCCTCCCCAGATCTAATTGGGCACCAGTGGGGTCCCCTGGCCTGGCCTGTGCCCTCTCCTAATCTGGGACACCTTGGGGGATGTCAGAGAGCCACTTTCGGCCGATCCCTCGAGGGCAGGCCGAGGAACCACACTGGTGCATGAATTCTTACACCGGGCCTCTAGTAAACATATGTTAAACAGAGAAAGACAAAGAAAAATACCTTAAGCTTGAAAATATTAGCCCAGCCCCAGTAGGCAAGGCTCAAAGACATCACTGGAAATAGTTTTCATTTCAATGACCAGCATTCTCATTGTTTGATCCCCTGAGGTTCATCAACCGATACTACCCTCTCCAAAAAAAGAATGAATGTTTGGGGGATTATGGGTGTTTTATGCTGATCATCTCTTTCCTTTGAGGAATTACTAGGGATGCCAGGGCTCGTCTCCTGAAGGCTTGAGCTGGCTCTCTGTATGGCTTTAGCATATAGCTCTGGATGCATTTGTGTTTTTAGTTGTGTTTAGCACTATACAGCCCCAAACAAAGCCCAGCGATCATAAATTTCATCTACCAATGCACCAGAGAGAGGCAGCTGGACGGGGAGCTGGAGGGAGCCCCAGACAGCAATTTCAGGGCATTCATGGTTGCATTAAAGAGATCACTGACTGCTGATTAAATTCTCCTCTTTGCAGGAAAGTGTTTGCAAATGCACATTGAGACCTTTAAGGCTGAGGATTGGGGAGCGTGAGGGATGTGTTTCTAAGGTGTGTTTCTCATATTCAAAATATTACACTTCGGGTCCAGCCGGCATGGTTCAGTGTCTGAGTGTCGACCTATGAACTAGGAGGTCACGATACGATTCCTTGTCAAGGGCACATGCCCGGGACGCAGGTTCAATTGCCAGTGGGGGACGAATGGGAGGCGTCCGATCCATGATTCTCTCTCATCATGGATTTTTCTCTCCCTCTCGCTTTTCCTTCCTCTCTGAGTTAATAAAAACATTTAAAGAATATTAAGCAAGTGTTGCATTAAGATGACCTGCACCTTGTTTTAAAATATTTTATTATTTTCCTTGGTTTAACATACAAGATGTGTAGTCATTTAAAGACGACCTAGTTCCCGAGCTGTTTTGGCTCAGTGGATAGAGCGTCGGCCTTTTTTTTCAAATATATTTTTATTGATTTCAGAGAGGAAGGGAGAGGGAGAGAGTTAGAAACATCCATGATGAGAGAATCATGGATTGGCCCCTCCTGCCAGTCCCTCACAGGGGTTCAAGCCCACAACCTGGGCATGTGCTTGTGACTGAGAATCAAACCCGGGACCCTGCAAGTCCCTCACTAGGGATCAAGCACAAAACCTGGCATGAGCCATTGACTGGGAATCAAACCCGGGAACCTTCAGTTCACAGGCCGACACTCTATCCACTGAGCCAAAGAGGTTAGGGCCAATTTGACTTTGTTAAAGGGTGGAAACGCCTTGAAGAACAATTATGCATCTCAGCATTCACGTCATAGTGGGAATTACAACTCACCTCACCATTCTTTACACATTGTTCATGTAAATGCAGACTCTGACTAATTATGAAGCTTTTAGGTAAACAGCCTGTTTTTGTAAGAATCCTAGGAACTAATTTTACAAGATATGAACTCTGACCTTCCCAGTTCTGGGAGTTTTGATGACCTTCAAACTTAGAACCAGGAGGATAAAGGCTGGGATGACGCACACTGGACCGACACCTGACCCCTTGAAAGATCCTTATCAGATTGTCCTGTGCCTGTAGGCACGTAGAGAACTTCTCAAGCCCCGCCCCCTGACCTCTTTGCTCTGTTTGGCCTCTCCCTCCTTATAAAAGCCTCTGCCTGCACTGAGATGTGCAGATGCATTTGGGGACGAGCTTACCCCATCTTCTCTGGTTGCCGGCACCTGAATAAACCTCTTTCCTTCCTCACCACCACCTGTCTCACGGGACTGGTTTCTGGGGTGTGAGTCAGGGGAACCTTGTTTTTTGGACACATTCCTAGTACATGGACTCCCTGGAACAGGTGTATCATGGCCATGTTCTTTCTTCTGCAGGTGACAGGGGGAAGCAGAGACCAGTAACAGAGAAAAGGAGCGAAGAACGGTGCTTTGCCTTCAGAGCAAGAACAGGTAAGAAAAAGATGGATGGGAGGAGGAGGGGGAAGGATTGGGGATGGAGTCTGATCTGAGGGAGGAATTTGGACTTTGTGGACTGAAGTGAGTTTGGCAGCAAAACCATACAGCTCTTGCCAAGAGCATGGCTGAGGTTTGGGGAAGGGAGAGATCATTCTATAAGTGATGTCATGAGACCTCAGGAATCCTACTTGCTGTTTCACCTGTCTTTTTGCTTCCTGTTTGCCTGATCAGGTATCCCAGGTATCTGTCATTCCCTGATTATTTTGGTCTTGCCTCTCTCACCAGCACTTGAGAAGCAAGACCGCTGTTAAGAAGCCCACCTGGACGCTGACTTTAGCTTTGTTCTTATGCCAGCTATTAAAGGTAAAGCATATTATTTGCATTGGGTGGGTCGTTCTATGGTTTGTGAGTTTCCTCTGAGATGATGAGAAAGGATGTGGTGTTGTCAGTACAAAAAGAAAAGTTGAACCAACTACAAAGTTTTAATTAAGAAAAAAAGAAAAGAGAAGGAAAGAAAAAGAAAAGAAAGGAAAATAGCCTGGCTGGCATGGCTCAGTTGTTCAGCTTAAACCTAAGAACCAGGAGATGGCGATTCGATTCCCAGTCATGGCACATGCCCAGGTTACAGTCTTGATCCCCAGTAGGGGGCATGCAGGAGGCAACCAATCCATGATTCTCTGTCATCATTGATCTTTCTCTTTCTCTCCCTCTCCCTTCCTCTCTGAAATCAGTAAAACTATATGAAAAAAATGAAAGAATAGTCATGGCACAGTAAAGTACAGTATTGAGTCAATACTATATAATAAAAGGCTAATATGCAAATCGACCAAATGGCAGAACAACTGGTTGCTATGACACACATTGACCGCCCGGGGCCGATGTTCATGGCAGGAGCTGTCCACCGGTGGTGGTCAGTGCAATGCCACAGGGAGAGCACCGCTCATCCAAATTCCAGGCTCACAGCTGCCGAGCACAGGGGTTGGTGGGAGCCTCCACCGCAGCACTAAAGCGGGACTCAGCTGTCAGTTTGACATCCTCATGGGATCCCGGACTGCGAGAGCCCGCAGGACTGACTGAGGGACACCCCCCAAGTGCATAAATATTGTGCACTGAGCCTATAGTAATATTACAATAACTGTGTGTGGTTTCAGATGGGTATGAGATTAATTTCATGATTACTTATTCCATTATATAATGTCTAATCATTGGGGTGTACCCCTGAAATGAACCTAATGTTTTATGTCAACTGTCATTTAAAAATTGTTTTAAAAATTCCATAGAACCATTTTACATTCACAGAGACATATTTTACTTCAAGTAAGTTTTGTACAGTTTGCTGGAGAAGAGAGATCTAAAGCTAAAAAGAAAGAAAAGTTGAGATTTATAAGTTTGCAAAATAAACCAAAGGCAACCAAAAACACAACAGTAAAAATTATAAAGATAAAAGCCGAGGTATAATGCATTTGGAGACCCGATCCGCTTTCTTTCGATACTAGGATCAAAGTAGCGAGAAGCTCTGAGAAGCTGTGGCTATTGCTCCTTGGACCACGGAGGGGTCATGGCCGAGCTCCCGTTGAAGGTGCACCTCAACTCACACCCCATCTGCCTGAAAATCCATGGGCCCTGGGTGTATGAGGATGAGAACCAGGGCACTTGGCTGCATCTCTTCATGGAGACAGGAAGTGTCCTGCAAGTACTGTTGCGCCAGGAAGACATCCCCATTGGGCATATCGCAATCACCAAAAGCCTGCTCACCTCGAGCATCATGCCTTTGATGTGGACACTCCACCCTGGAGGCCAGTACGAGGAC